CACTACCTGTGCCTTGAATCTACCTTCCTGACTATGTAATTATACACAGCAACATGTAGGTGACAAGCACAACTCTCATACAAGCCATACCCAGAATCCATCAGAAGTATAATCACTTCCATAGTACCTACAGTTACAGGCACAACAGTACTTACCACTACAGAGAAGAGGCCGATAAGCGAGAGGTACAGTTTAATTTGCCGCGTACGTGGGAATACCATGGTCGCCAGGTACGTTCGCCCCCGAAGGACGAATGAGGTCAGGTTGTTCAGCGTGCCGGTTGTTATATTGTCCAAGCTTGTAAGTAGTAGACAATCTTAATTATACTACATCCGTCGATATTCACTTAGGAAACTAGGGAATCCTATCATCGCTTTGCTTCAAGTGTATGTGCTGCTAATAAGCAGTTGTGATCTAAATGTCAGAGAGGGACGTTTTTATAGGTCAGACTCTCTCTATATATAAGTGTTGTGCTTTGTACAGCGTGTACTATATAAGATAACTACATAAGTAAATAGATTCGTGTTTGTCTGTTTATTTTATATATATATCAACAATATATATATATGTATATGTATATATGTATATATATATATATATATATATATATATATATATATATACATATATATATATATATTATATATATACGTATGTATATGTATATATATATATATTATATATATATATATTATATATAAATATATATATATATATATATATATATATAAATATATATATATTATAAGTATATACTATGTAATGTCCTTCGGACACTAGTCCGATCAGGCATTATATATATATATTCTTCTCTCTCTCTAGAGGATCATGATATAAGTATGTACTATAGGAGCGTAGTACAAATGTAATATATTACAAGAGTATATAGTACATCACCTCTTTTATATGTGTGCAAGAGCGTGTAATACAAACTTACAAATTACGAAGGCCACAAAGTGATCACATAAAAATTGATGATTGCCGAATGATATTGACCAATGGCGTGCTGATCAATACGACTTCGGTTCAAATGGATAATGATCTGATGACGGGAGTCTGGCACCCTTTCACCGTGACCAGAGTCCAGACTCGCACACTCTCACACGAGTTGTCAACAATACTGAACAAACAACGCATTAAGTCTCTGTTTAACACAGGTACTGTTATTAGTCTGCCGTTCACTTTGCTTTTGCATAGGGACTATAGCGAGGGTGCTACATATTAATATATACATAAATATCAACCGGCTTTTGACATGTAGGTCAGATGTTCGCTTCCAGATGACGATTTTTTTCTATTTAATTTGTTGCCGCTGTGTAACCAATTTCTATAGAACTTATTCTAGAGAGTGGCTGAGCGCAGCAGAGACCATATGTCACTGCATAGATGCAATATATAATGGCTAATAGTTGAATGATCGGATGAGTTACTTAACAGAGGAAACTGCCAGAGCATTTGTCTGGTTATACCAATACATGTTGGTGAAGCGAACTTCATAAGTATATTTGATTCATTCACGTTACAGTTGTAGACAATCAAGATCTCCGTAACAACAACTATCAGATACTTCTGTTCCGCCCCAGTCTTCTTTTTATTTTGGTGCGTGTATAATTAGTTCAGCCATGTGTCAGTATCTACTATCTCGCAGTCCACTCGTCTTCCCAGGTGAAACAAAGGTATAAGGACGATGTATGCTGAGCACTATTGTATGTCCTTGGTTATTAAAATATGTAGTTTGAACAATCCCTCCAACACATGCGGTCCG